TCAGAGGATGAAGCAAAGGTCCAGTGAAAATAAAAAAAGACAACGTCGAGTATTTTATTTTTTTTGTATATGTTTTGGTAGTCAGGTCGTCCATACATTGAACCAAGGAATTTCTGTTAAAAATAGTTAGGAAAACCCACTAGTTTATCCTCCGAAACTAGATAAATAAACCAAATTAAAAATTTAAAGAGTGTTTTTATTAAAAAAAAAATCTGATATTTATTTGAATATTTGTTAGATAATACCAAAATGACGAATTTAGAAATACGGGATATAGCTATAGTGTCACAGTCAACTTTTTATTTTTATTTCACCATTCACCGCTTCAACTTGAAATTGAATAATGAAACATTTTTTATTCATTATTCATCACTTAACATTGAATAGTGAATAGTGAACTATTTCATTATTCATTATTGAATTTTGAATAATGAAAAATGAATAATGGACGTACTTCAGCGTGGTGTTGATCAACGTTTCCAAATCTACTTAAAAGTATAATTTATTTTTAAATTGTTCTCGTCCTGCATTATTATAAAGTATTTGCCACAGAACGAATAATAGGTCAATTCAAATCAAGTCAATGTCCCGAATTCACTCCAATATTTGCCGCTGGACGTTAAGCATCTATTCATTCATCGTTTTTTTGTAAATGTTTAATCATGTAATTGCATTGTGCTGTATATGTATGCAGTTCTGGTTATGTTGTTTGATATTTTATGAAATAGTACTAGGATTTCTTTTCTCAAACAATTTCAGGCTGGAGTTTAAGGGTGTTTTTTGTTTGTTAGGAACAAAGACATTATTTACTTTGTACTCTGTGAAACAATAAACCGTGAATTACCTACTGGTAGATGTTTATTTTATTTTCCACTTCTGTCCGTTTTTGAAGGCAAATGATCACATGATATCCGTTAAACGTGACACAGTGACTGCTGTCAACAGAACATATACTCTGAAAGACTTAACCAGAAGATTGATGTTCCCTAATTTTATATGCTTGTTTCGACATTATCAACAGTTATCTTCAATAAATAAAAACCGAATTGCTCAAACTTAGTACCATATTTGTATTCTTGCATTGGCATCATATGTTTTTCTAGGTAATTGTGTAAAACTACTATTAATTACGAATAACAAATATGATTAATTTAACAGTATATGAAAACGCTACAATGCACATGAACAATAAATACAGTATACATTGAAAAACATATAAAACACACTTATAAATTTCAAAAAAGGACAAAAAAAATTAATAAAGATGTTGGGTAATATATATATTTCATGAGTATAAATACATCTTTTTGCTATTTAGTCAAATACGGGAAAAGAATAACTTACACAGCTTCCTGTTTGGGTCAAGTGTCGCAAAAACCAAGGTCATCCGTAACAGGCTGATGGAGGAAAAAGTTTAGAAATTCAACAAATTTTGAAAATTTTAAAGATTATGATCCACTTGTTTAAACACATTATTTAAATCATAAAACATGTTTAGTTTGAAGTGTTTACTATGTCTCTCTGAAAAGGTTGATGCATAAATCATTTTTTAAACAGGACCCATATAGCTTCATCTTGATGAAAAAGTTGTGTAATTTCAGTTGATTAAGTTAATTAACTCAATATCGATCGTAACGATTGAATGCGATTGATACGATCGTGACCTTGAAATACAAATGATAGAGTTTATTGAGTTGATCAACACCAATCAATCGTAATGATTGGAATAGATAGCGGTAATCTCTGTTGAAATTCTGACGGAACTGTTCAAACTGGACATCTTTAACGAACAAATATGCTATAAGTTCATTTAAAACAAAAAATATATAAAACCAATTTATGTTTTGGATAGAACACATTATACATATCCTTCTTTGATATTAAATGGCGACACTTCTCGCTTGAAATCCCAAATGTTATACACAGGTAACCTAATGTGATTTAGTGAAAAAAATTACTAAATCTATTTCCCTTATTTTCAATGGAATCAAACTTTTTATTTCACTTTTCCTATGAAATATGTGTTTTTAGAAAACATTTAGATAAAAAATGCAATAATAAACAAGTGCAAATAAAACTTCAAATAGGGACGTCGTCAGTGAAACAAATATGTTTTCAACAGTTTTTTTTCCAATTTTTACTATACAATAAAGGGATCATTATAGCTTGCGTAGTTTAACTCGGAGAATGAATATCCTTCTCGCAAGCTTGTGATAAAACATATCTTTACAGCTAACATAGTTTTGCCTGTGGTTAACGATATCCATCTTGTACAGTTTTGGAATTGATACTTAAATTTGCCAAAATCTCTAAAAAGTGCAGTTTTGGGCATTGCTTACATGTTCAGAAATTAGCCAAACCGCTGTTGCAAATTAACAAACTTAAATATTAAGAATCTGATGTGATACCATGAATTTAAGTAAAGATTAATAGACGTTTTGAAAATGTCCCTTATATGAAAGAAATTCTGGAAATACTCCTTAAACGACAATTCTTACAACGTTAGTTATAATGGGTCAAATAATACGTAGCTGAATGGATCAGAATGTTACCTCTTGAAAACATTAGTAGCATAATAGACAATGTTTTCTCTAGCAAACATTATTAACCTCTCATCTTTTTGTTATCTATTATAATTGTATACCATCACAAGGCGACAAATAAATATGCAACAAGTAAAATCACAAAAATATTGAACCCCGAGGAAAATTCAAAAAGGAAAGTCCCTAATCAAATGGAAAAATCAAAAGCTCAAACACACAAAACGAATGGATAACAACTGTCATGTTCTTGACTTTGTACAGGCATTTTATCATGTAGAATATGGTGAATTGGACCTGGTTTTATTGCTATAGCTTAACCTCTCACATTTATGACAGTCGCATCAAATTTCATTATATTGACAACGATGCGTGAACAAAACAAACATACACAATAAGTAAAAATAGGGGTACAGCAGTCAACAGGATTGTGTAATCATCTTAATCACTATAAACACAAACAAATGTAAATATCTTTCAATAACTAATTATCACAAATAAAAACGTTCATATAATTATTATCTTTTTTCAACGTTTTCAAGGTATCCCGTCGATGAGTATAGATATATAATTATGTTATTTCTAATATGCAAAATATAAAAAAAATGATGTTTCTGAAGAAAGTCATTGAAATCTATAAACTGTTTTGCTTTTTGCCATGTCTGTTGTCTTTTAGATTAACCCTCTTGCTGCCGAGTTTTTTTCTTGCTTCGTCGCGCCAAAAGCATCTTGACGTTTTATATCTGTGACGTTGCAAAACTTGTGCCTCTCTGTAGAACAGCGCTTTCCCGCCGTCCATAATTTTTCCCGCGTCAATGTAGCCGTAATTATGAAGAGCGATGTAAAAGTAATTTTATGAAAACTATTGCTCTAAGATTGTTATAAACGATGTTTTTAATACAATATTATTTAAAAATACAACTTTTAACCTTGAAATGTAGTTTTTTTTTTTATCTTTCTTGTCTTTAAAAAAAATGAAAATAATATACCCATTGCTACTAGCTTTATAAGTGCTTTTTTTTTTTTATCTTTGTCAGGTGAAATGCATAACTGATTCTTAACCACCTCTAAAATACTAAAATATATTTATCCTTGTTATCCGATTAGCTTAGTAAACCTTGTTATAATTGATAAATACCGTAAAAAAATCTCTCAAATAATCATATAAACAAAACAACGGCCCCCAATAAAAATAAAAACAAAAACAATGCGTGTACAAATAAAAATAAATAAAAACTCCGAGCAGCCGATTCTATGAACTACTTCTTGTTGTAACGTATCAAACGTGTCAGATTAAAATTTTCATTCCAAGCCTTGTTTCGGTAGGCGAGAAAATAATTTTTATAGACATAACTATCCATATTCATTTTGTTTATTTTTTAATCATGTTTATTATTATTTTGTTGACCACTTATTCCTCAAAATTTTAGAGAAATGTTTGAAAATACGAATTAAAAAAAACAGAAAAACGAGGGAAGAAATTCTCTAAAATTAATTTCTATTGTCTGTAAGCATGACAAGTGAACCTGAATCAATAATTCATTAACATTTTCTATGATGAAGTACACACTGTAATTGGCATACACCAAATATCTTTTAAAATCTGTTGATTGATAAATTGTTCTCTTCTCAACGTTCAGTGGCAAGTATTTCATGCAATATTAAGGATGTCTGAAATTTAATGTCCAATAAATCTGTTGCTCAGTGGGTCCTACAACTTGAAGTAAAAGATCTGTGATGAATGGCTGAAAATTGAGGTTGCCACTGGGAAAGGATGATATGTAGGATAGGAAAAGAAATCATTGGGTCACCTGATCCCCATTTCGAATGAAAATAAATATTTTTAGATTAGTGCTTCAATGATGAAACGGGTATAAAATGTATTGAAATATCGTATGGCAATACAAGTATATCGGGTAACATTTGTGTACTTTTACAAAAAAAAAATCTTCACTGAGAATTCAATCGCGGCATTTGAGCCCTAAAGAAATTTTCCAGTTCTCTTAAATAAAGCGTGTATTGTGAATATTAATATTTCGCGTAATCAAGTATAACAGTTACCTTTTCTATGATTATTTATTAGGAATGCGATTATTATATGAGATATTCTGATTGAAAGATGTATGAAAAAAAACGTTTAACAAATTTCTCGAAAGTATGCAACATTTTACATGAAAATGACGAACTATATAATTAGTAAACACGTTAAATAAATTGGTATTATAGTACTAACAAGCTTATGATCCTGTATCATTGTTTAACATCCGTTTTAAGTATACAAATAATGCATTTTATTCAATTTGCTTCATTCCCGCCAAAATCGTCCTTTTGGCGCCGTCTTTGACGTTGCCAGTGCCCCTCAGTATTGTGACGTTACCATGAACCTTTGACGTTCTACACAATCAACAAGATTTGTGTGTAGAAGCCATAAATGTCCCTTTGGCAGCAAGAGGGTTAAGAGATCTATACATATATGTAACACTCAGAAACGTGTCCTTCCCCCCAAACGTGTCCGATTCCCCCAAACGTGTCCACATGACGTCACTGAACTGCAAAACAAGTCTTAATGTAAAAGGGCGCCAAAGCGTGTCATTTGTATGAACGCCCAAACGTGTCCATTTTTTAATAAACACCTAAACGTGTCCAATCCCCCAAACGTGTCCATATCAACCTTCATTTTTTTTCTATAAATGAACTATCATTCGTGTCCATATTATAAATACGTACGTTATTTGGTTATTGCTTTTTCATTAACGTAAACTCATTTTACTATTTCATAAAAAAAAAAAAAAAAATTACTATAGGTCTTTTTTTAACAGTATAACGGTTAAAGTGGGGCGTCTGCTAAGCTATGTAGGATGTAAATGTAAGCAGCCACGCTAAGTTAATTTCTGGATATTAAATCAGATACTTCGTGTAGGTAGAAAGTCCCTTTCTCTGCAGATTAAAACCTTTCTGACAACTCTTTCATGGTGCCATCCGTTGTATTTCGGAAGGCAACAATTTTGTCCCTATTGATTTTTTTCTAGTGGCAGTTAAGATTTCAGCAACTTTTATTTAAAACGACCTCTAATACAAAACTGAGATTGAAGAAGTGTTTTACTGAAGTGATAAAAAAACGGTCTTTACTCGCTCTTAAATATTATTAATATCCAAACTAGTGTTAATCCCGAATACCCGTAAAAATTTAGGCCCAATCATAAATTTCCTGTATAATAATAGAACCTATCTACAGTATTAATTGATTGATTGATTGCTTAACGTCCAGTTGCAAATATTTCATGCATATTCAGGACAAGAACAAATTAACAATAAATAAAATAGGCAGGTTCTGTAATAGAGGCGTCCGGGATGAAGGTCGAAGAAATTTAAACTGCCACGGGATATGAGGGTATATTGGATTGGGACAAAAATTTAGCCATGCAACAGGTCATCTACGGACCCCTCGAAGAGTTGTTGCAAGGGTTCCTAACGTGCAAAGAGCGTGGCACTCTTTTTAAACGAGGCATCGGATGTAACGTCCCCATTCTGACCGGACGTGGTTGCAAATTTGTATATCCCGCACAGCCTAACGGACGTCCCACTTTGGCGAGGGTTTTACTGCCGGCCGGAGGAAGACCAATGGTGTTCATACTTCTATTCTTGGGGGTCATTAATTGTTAACATGATGTCGTTCAAATAATGCATGAAATATTTGGCACTGGACGTTATGTCTCTCGTTTGTGTGTCTTTAGTGATGCTCGAAACCTAAAAAAAACAACCGAAAACCAGTTAATGATTTGAAGAGCTTTTAAAATATCAGGACTGTTGAAAAAAGGGTAGTCAATTTTTTCCCGCCGTGTAATATTCACACACAGGATTTTTATGAAAATGCATCGTCTTAGATTTTATTTGTACAAAATAATTCACTTAGTAAACGATTAAATCAACTGTACTAAAATGATTTGTATATTCGCTTTAAATATGCATGAAATACTTGCAACTGGACAATAAACAATTACAGTCAAAAGTTAATTTTTTGTGTTACAGATTAAATTTGCAATTATGATAATCATCAAATGTGTCCCCCATCATAGAATTTGCCGTTAACATGTACATACATGTATTAGCGCTAATAGACGTGAGACGTTCTGGCGTTTAACAGTAGACACGTTTTGGCGAATAACATTTATCGGACACGTTTGGGGGTTATGAAATCGGACACGTTTGGGCAACATTGAATATAACGGACACGTTTGGGGGAATAGACACGTTTGAGGGAATCGGACACGTTTGGGGGGAAGGACACGTTTGGGAGTGTTACATATATACTATCAATGTTTAATAGACATTTAGTGTTCTTATTTATAAAAAATTTACGAAATACATGAGCCATGTTTTTTAATACAATAATAAGGAGAGGTGGGCAGATAGTCAAAAGACGTATATCCACCGGAGACAAAAAGGCGACGATGTAAACAACTGTAGAGTTCAAGTACAAACTCGCAAAAGTTCTGATCAATCCTTTTCGAAGTGATAACGGCTAGTTACTAAAAAAAAATGTTTTGACTAATACATCAACTAACATATATTTTGGTTATATGTTGCTGTGCATTTACAACAACTTTGTTTTTCATATTGCAATTGAATTCGGAATATTGCTTGGTAAAAGTCTAGTATATGGAATAAAATTTGGATTCAGGTTTCCTGCTATAATTTCTTGGTTCCGATCATTAATCTCCTGTTCAATTAGGGCCAATTCTGCTCTGAACCTATAATATAAAGTAACTTGAAAGAAATATGTTTTAAATCAAATAAATAATGAAATCTTTTATGAGAAATATTTATTATGATTCACTAGGAAATTGTTGTGCAATTACACTAAAGAAGGGTTGGAATCAAATGATATGGCCTACCTCATTTTTAAATGTGTGTTTGTTTGTTTGCTAAATTGAATAAGAAGATATGGAATTATTGCAAATGATAACAACGTCAGACAGAGACCAATCAACTTAGTTAAAGCAACCATATGTCACCGTGCGGCCGTCAACGTAGAACAAACAAAATGCCTGAAAAAGTTTTGTTTTGTAAAATGTTCTGACAATTACTTTCTTAACAACTCTTTCTCTGACATTCAAAACTTTGGATATATAAATTTTGAGATGTGTTATGTTTGTTATTGATCCACTAGAGACCTAAGATATCTAAAATATAGAGTTTAGTGCAAAACTGAGGAAACCTACGGCGTATAGCATAGTGAAATAAAAAGTCCTTGGCATATCAAAAACATTTTAAAATTAAAAGGGAAAACCACCTGATTCATGCTTGACCAATTAACAGACTTTTGAATTTTGTATTTTTTTCTTTCGTTTTTGTTTATCTGCTTTGTTATATTTGTTGTTATTTTTGCCTGATTTTATAGTGATTAAGATTAAGCACAATGTTGACTGATGTACCTCTATTTTAGACATTTCAACTTTTATATCTGTTTGTTTTGTTTACACATCGTTTTCAATATAATGGAATTTAATGCGACTGTCATACAAGTAAGAAGGTTAGCTAGCTATGAAATTAGGTTAAATCCACCATTTTATATATGTCTGTAAATGCCTGTATCAAGTCAGGAATATGACAGTTGTTATCAATTCGTTTGATTTGTTTGAACGTTTTATTGTGCCATTTGCTTAGAGACTTTCTGTTCTGAACTTTCCTCGAAGCTCGGTTAGTTTGTTACTTTACTTTTGACTTGGCATTTGAAAACTAAGAATCGGGTTAAATATGTTTTTAAGCGTTTTGAACATTTCCTAACGTTGTGCAGTGGTGTACGAGAGTGGTGTCAGAAAAAAAATGGACTTAGAAGGACACTAAGCACACAAAAAACCTTTACGAAAAATAAACCAAAGATATCACATGTAGCTGACCGAAAAATTTATTCACGTACTGAACATTAGTTACCAGTCTATACAAATTAATAAATAAATATTTGTTTTTCTAAAACTTAAATTTGAAATAGTAAATATCCAATAGATTGAGCCATACACAGACTTGTCAGCATATTAGTATCGGCAGGATGTAAGGCAAACAGTCTTTAATTGATTGATTGATTGCTGGTTGCTTAACGTCCAGTGGCAAATATTTCATGCATATTCAGGACGAGAACAAATTAACAATAAATACAATTGGTAGGTTCTGTAATAGAGGCGTCCGGGATTAAGGTCGGAGAAATTTGGACTGCCACGGCAAATAAAGGTATATTGGATAGGGACAGAAATTTAGCCTTGCAACAGGTCACCTACGGACCCCTCAAAGAGTTGTTGCAAGGGTTCTTAACGTGCAAAGAGCGTGGCACTCTCTTTACACGAGGCATCGGATTTAACGTCCCCATTCTGACCGGACGTGGCTGCAAATTTGTACATCCCGCACAGCCAAACGGACGCCCCACTTTGGCAAGGGTTTTACTGCCGGTCGGAGGAAGACCAATGGTGACCATACTTCTATTCCCCAGTCACCCTTGGGGGTCAAACAGTCTTTTAACTCTACAGCCATGCAGGTTGATGATAAAATAAAATGATTTTTATCTGATTACGATATTATTCAAAGACCTTACAGCAGTATAAAATTGTCAACTTTAGGACACACTTTATTCAATAAATCAATATTTTTATGTACTGGCTGGATGTGATATCATGTTTGTAATATGTTCTAAGAGGTAATACAAGCTTCCAAACCAAGAATTAAACGGGAATTAAAGAATTTCTTAAATGTTATATGTAACGAGTGAACACAAAATACGATTTTTTGTTTTCTTTTTTATATGCAATGATGGTCCATTCTCGACCGCTGTGTTCGTGTTAGTATTGGACGTTAATTTTGCATAAATGGCAAATTAGTAGGTCATTTATTCAGTTATTGTCCATTTTTCTAACATTTCTTGATTCTTCTAAAATAAATTACTTTTGTTTTGTTTTTTAAGCAAGTTGATCATCACTGAATTTAGTGCTTTTAAGGGAATCGGAGCACAGGAAAATTCATGATAAAAAGTCAAATCATTAGAAAATTTACAAAACATTAGGCTAGAATTAAAGCTTATTCAATACATTTGCAATAGCCAAAAGTCTTACTAAGATCGAAGAACGTTACTCTTCACTCTATACTACTTACGTATTCAGGATTGTGACTGCATTTGGGTCTTCAATCAATTGAACTTCAGACTGTCCGAGTGGTTGTGTTGTTTCTTGACTGAGAAGAGTAAAATTAGTCATGATGTCGAATGTTTCTCTGACTGACGGAAGACAATCTAATACAGCTTGGTCTTCTATCCCATTCTTAAAATAAGGCAAACGATAATATTTTAATTCATCATAGATAAATAGATTTATCTTTAAACTATGTTGTTGTCATGTCTCATTTAATGCTAAAAATTACCTAAAATACAAACATGGTCCTTTCATTGATTTTTTTTTAAATTTAATCATCAATCAAATATTATAATAGTTATCAAAGGTACCAAGCTTATAATTTGATACGTCAGAAGCGCGTTTCTTCTACATAAGACTCATCAGTGACGCTCAGATCGAAATAGATCGAAAAGGCCAAACAAGTATAAAGTTGAAGAGGATTGAGGACCCAAAATTCTAAACAGTTGTGCCAAATACGGATAAAGTAATCTATGCCTGGGATAAGAAAATCCTTAGTATTTCGATAATAAAATAGCTTTGAACTAATCTGTAACACATATAATAAAGTTATTTGTTTTTAAATATTTTCTTATTTCAACCTTTAGAATATGGAGTGCTTACATAAAACAGTTAACATGTTACTGTATAGTTGATAAACAAATTAAAACAAACAATACCGCATTTAGAGGTGGTGCTCCATGAAGTAATGTTGAATAATTTGGCGGGAATCCATATTGATCATACTGTGGAAAATTTGTAGCAGCATGCATAACCGAACATATGAATATTGTTGATGTAAGGGTATCAATAAGCTGACCAGTTGTCCAGAATCTGTCGTTGTCTCCTGGAATTCGAACTCCCTGTAAAATGTAGTTGTTTTTAATGATAAGTATCAAAGATGATGTTTTTTATCGACAGAACAGTCACATTCCGCCAGGAATAGTCCGTGATTTTGAAAACTAGAGGCTCCAAGGAGCCTGTGCCGCTCACCTGATATTTTTATTTACAATTAATGCATATAATAATGCAACCGTTATACTTTTGCTTTAGTTTCAGAGATATATGTGAAAAACTGCATTTTCCCCCAATATTCTATTTTAAGCCATTTCTGCAATGTTGGTTGGCAGACAGGGTCATCAGACACATTTTTTAAACTAGATACCCTAATGCTGATTGTGACCAAGTTTGCTTAAATTTGTCTCAGTTGTTTCAGGAGAAAACTATTATAAAAGATTACAAAAAATTTCGAAAAATTGTTAAATTTGATCTTAAAGGACAATAACTCAATATGGGGTCAATTGATCATTTTGGTCATGCTGACTTATTTGTAGATCCTACTTTGCTGAACATTATTGCTGTTTACAGTTTATCTCTATCTATAATAGTATTCAAGATAATAACCTAAAACTGCAAAATCTCCTTAAAATTACCAATTCAGGGGCAGCAACCCAACAACGGATTGTCTGATGTGTCTGAAAGTTTAAGGACAGATAGATCTTGATCTGAAAAACAATTGTAATCCATGTCAGATTTGCTCTTAATGCTTTGGTCTCAGAAATATAAGCCAAAATCTACATTTTACCCCTATGTTCTATTTTTAGCCATGACGGCCATCTTGGTTAGTGGGTCGGGTCATCGGACACATTTTTTACACTAGATACCCCAATGATGATTGTGGCCAAATTTGGTAAAATTTGACGCAGGAGTTTCAGAGGAGAAGATTTTTGTAAAAGTTAGCGATGGACGACGGACGACAGACGACATACGACGGACGACGGACGCCAAGTGATGAGAAAAGCTCACTTGACCTTTTAGGTCAGGTGAGCTAAAAATAGATAAGACGTCTGTATCAGTTATTGTATTTGCCTGTAGAACTTGCAAGTTCAACTTGAGTATTTCAGACAAATGTTACTCGCTGAATGGTAAACTACGAAGTACGTGTGAATTGTCGTGTTCTTTCCAAGTACCTAACACTAAATGTTGTTTTTCTTCCGTAACTTTTATGTATACGTTATAAAATGTATAATAAATACTTCTTCAAATACGTTCCTTCTGCGACGACAAGCTGCTTAAAATAATCATTTTCTAATTATTGTATTTCTATTTTTAATGAATTCATTTCACGCTTTTGTAATATCAGCAATATATCCTCTCTTCATATGTCTTATATATACACTAAAGTATGGGTAGGCTCAATATAGGACATGCTAGATTTTATTGATTTTCAATGTGATATTGTGTATGTATACATATACCATCGATAGCCAAAGCCATAACTGTTTAGACTAACCTACCATAAGGGAATCTCCTTAAACTTTCAAAAACACAATCTAATAATTGTAGATTCCGCTGTCATTGGAAACACCACACCTTTATTGCACGTTTTTTTTCCATTTCGTCGAGGTGAGAATAATTATAATATTGACTGTAAAATTTACATGGTAGTTAACTCACCTGTATTCCAATTCCTCCATTTTCTTGTCCACGTGGTAGCACTAGTTCTGCGTAAAAGGCCTGTATCTCAGTGTCGCCTAACAACCTATCCAAGATATCTTTAATCAAGCAATACAAATATTATTATATATTAAGAACGTTGAGGACCCGGCATACCAGTGAACATACAGTATGTCGATATATTATGTGAACTGAGGAATAACAATTAGTGATACAGTCTTTCTCTTATCGTAAAATTTTGATTATATGTAACAATTTAATGCTAACAAGAACAAATTATATTTTAGATGGAATATACTAGTTTTGGACATATTTTTATTCCGTTTGGATATCGCAATAGATAAGGGAAGAATCCCGAATAAAGAAAAGACTAGGATCGGACATTCTGATATTTTTACAGATAAATTGACATTTCTTTTTGTTTAATATTTCTATTAAAATTGTACAATAAAACTGGACGTTTAATTTATTATTGTTTTCATGTATTTTGTTGGCTTAAATTTAACGGTGATATCTGGCCCTAACAAAAGTTGATCATGCGTATCTTCGATGATCTATCTTGTTATTTCCAGCAAATCAAATAAACAACTTTATAAAATTGGTTCGTCATAATCGCTTCTATATAATCATATTCCAGGAACCAGAACTTTGAAAGCAAAATATGTATGACTAGGGCTTCTTTGAAAATGAGTTTTACTGTGCGTATTGCTGTGCGTTTGTTTTCTACATTGGCTAGAGGTATAGGGGAGTGTTGAGATCTAAAAAAAAATAATTTAACCCTGCCACACGTTTGTGCCTGTCCAAAGTCAGGAGCCTCTGGTCCTTTTTAGTCTTGTATGATTTTTAATTTTAGTTTCTTTTATAGTAAGTAAGTAAGTAAGTAGTTATTACAGTGTAACAATCTAACATTATACATAATGTATTATACATCAGATAAAATCAGCCAAAATACATTTCTAGGAATATGATTGGTTAAAAGCGTCCGTGTGGAGACCGTGTATATTCCATATTAAGTTAGTAGGGAGGCGGGGCTTATTTCAATACACGGTTAGTAGTGGAGTAACGACTTTGGCACTATTTGCTTATTTAAATTTATTGAAAGTTCTATTTGATATTGTTATATCAAGGGTGTTGATATTAAATTGTTATTATTGACATTAGTTTTTTTTTGTGCAGACCAATGGAAGTAGGTTCTTAAAATTGAACACTTGAACACTTTAATATAAAAATAAGAAGATGTGGTATGATTGCAAATGAAACAACTCTAGTTTAAATTCAATAAATAAGGATAGTCGGTTATATAAAATCGTTACATAGTGTGCTAGTGACCTAATACGATATGTACTGGCTCAGTATATTCCATATGACCCTGTATATATCGTATTAGGTCACTAACACACTATAACTAATAATATTAGATTCCTGCCTTAAAAGACATATGAGACACTTTTACCTCATTAAGTGCATACTCAGTTTAAAACATCTTTCAAAATTAAAAAGTATTCAAAAAAACAAAACAATTACTTCTTGATCAACAATTTTTCACTTAAAAGAACAAAAAAAAGGTATACTTCGGAGTTTAGAATGACGTCCATTTTCATTGAACTAGTTCATATTTTTGTTTACGGACCAGCTGAAGCACGGCTCCGCGTGCGGGATTCTCTCGCTGTATTGAAGACTCATTGGTGGCCTTGGGCTGTTTTCTTCTCTTTGGTCGGGTTGTTGTTTCTTTAACACATTCCTCATTTCCATTCTCAATTTTAATTCTATGAGTGTTTGAATACTACAGCCTGTTTTTCTTAGAAATTTTACTTTCGTGGTTGTAAGGCGAAAAAACAACTACTACGAATATTTCAAGGCAGACCCTTCAGAGGCTGATGAACATGAATGAAAGTACATGTAGCCTGCCCACACAGATATGTTGATTGCTATTTTAAAAAGCGATTTTAGAGGCGAATTAAGACAAGCACAAGTTAAAACGTTATTTCTTAATGAACGGAAATGTTAGAAATCAGCACTTTAAATAATAAGCTTGATATCTCTTCAAAGTGGAAGATATCCCAACATATGTATAACAAACGGATACAATTGATATTACCATATAAACAACACTCATAACCGTTAAGGTCGAAATATTGTTTAACTAGTAGTAATCCTTGTAGTAAAACGTCGATATTAATTTTTTAAAGAATCACGAATTAAAAAAAAACCTGGATATCTGAGCGGCTCTGGAAAGGTAAATAGATACTGTCAACAAATGGCCTCTGTCTTAAAATTGCAAACCAGCTATGTAACCTACAGGAACTAAATATTACAACCAAATCATTCTAAGATCTGTTTCGTTCATATTTGTGAAATTTAGAAAATAGAACGCTTTTTGATTTATCGAATTATTTATGTTAAAAGATGTAAATTCTCGTAAATGGAGCTGGTTACCCTAAATCTTAAAAATCAATCATTTATCATTTTTAAAAATTGATAAAAAAGAAGATGTGGTATGCTTGCCAATGAGACAACTCTTCACAAGAGATAAATGACACATAAATTAACAACTATAGGTCACTGAACAGCCTTCAACAATGAACATAACACATAACCAGCTATAGAACGCCCCGCAATGACAAATATAAAACAATTCAAACGAGAAAACTAAAGTCCTAATTTATATACAAAATAATGAACGAAAAAGAAATAGGTAACACAGCAACACACGACATCCACTGAATTACAGGTTCCTGACTTAGGGCAGGTACATACATACAGAACGCAGAATGTGTCGGGGTAACACATATTAGCGAGATTCCAACCTCCCCTTAACCTAGGACAGTGGTGTGAAAGTACAACATAAGAAAGAACTTTAAAAATCCGTTGAAAAAGCTACACTTAAAAATACACCAATCAAAAACACAAATTTGACCTGACCGGGTAATTGTAAATCCCAACAACAAAAAGACACTACGTACAGATCTTAGAGTCTCACAGTTACTAATAGCTAGTTCAAAACCAATAACATGTTATAAAAAGATCAAGTTTCGAAGACTAAATTATCAATCAGTACATATCCAACTTCCAATGGGTTTAGTGTAAAAACGTCATAAACCGTCAGAGATAAACATGATTTGTGCATCGCTGGCTTTTTTTTCTTAAAAAGAAATGATTGAAATTGAAGGATTCGTTTTAAATATAATTTTAAAAGACGATACGTAAGCCCTTTTTCATAACTTCACAGTGTCTTCATAACGAGTTCATTTTATAACAGGGCAGTACGAATGGGATAGTTCCTCCTTTTGATTTTCTTCTTTTCATCCTATTGTTCCTATGCATTTATGACAATATCAATATTATTTCATGATTTTCCCACCCTCTAGCAAATAAACATTTGTAACACTGTTAGGATCCAAAATGTACAACCAAATTCCCTTTTATCTATAATTATGACGGAACTTATTACACAGACATCATAAACTGATTTCATCTCTTTCAATGATGTAATAAAGGCCAATATTTTAATTTTACCAGATAAAACTAACTTACCTTCGTCATTAACTCCTGAATAGTAGTGATGGACATATTGATCTACATAATTGTGTATAGCATTGTATAGTTGCAAACCGTCTTCGGCATAGAAAAACCCAGGTATGTTAACCTGGTTAACTCCATCATCACCTGTAAGCTGCAAATACATTAAACTATCTCTATAATTTATCATATATTCTCAATATATGTTGATGAACCGTGCATTAATGTATCGACAAATACAGAAATACGTTGAAGTGTGATCAGGGTGCATATTAATCTGACCAGTGCTGTCTTAAAAGACCGGACAACAAAGTTCAAACAGATTTGTAATTAAATTAAACTGCGGTTATCTATTTTCAAAATGTCAAAATACCGGTTGGTCATGTTCATATACTGATCAACACATATAGACTTGTTGGAAACTTGACATTACAGAATTTAATGGACAGGGATATTTTCTCTTAACTCCCTTTCAATGATAATCTACGCATTTGGATGCGCAAATACATAAGAAATGAAATCTATTTACTAAAGAGGAATATACAACACTGTAAAAGATACATGATAATAGTAATATGAAAGACACAAAATTTAAAAAAGTAGATAATTTATTAGCTAAGAACATATTAAGATGCTAGTATTGATATATGTCAGCATTGTAATCTGTATCGAAGAAGGAGGTGTTAATCAGAGTTAACATTGTGGAAAATTTGGGTTTAAGGACTAACATTAACATTTAGTCATAATCAAAATTAACAGTGTTATCATTTATAAAATGAGTGTTGTATCAAAATTCAAAAGCAAAAAAAAAAATTCACTTTACTTATTTACAGGCCCTCTGAAACCTAAATTGTAATGCGTAAGTCATTAATCGTTTCAGCTTTGTTCTGCCATGATAAAAATCGGAGCCTCGTTTCTTACACATTCTAATTTCAAATATTCGACTTGAGAGCGTCCCCGATGAGAATTTATCAACAAAAACACCTCGGACGCATACAATTCATTAAGTGTTTTGTTTTTGCACTTTTTTTTCACAATGATAGTTTATTCGCTATCCGTATAATTACGTATCCTACATAACTAAAACTGACTTTCAAAACAGACTTCACATATAGAAATCTGATGTTCAGTAGTTGTCGTTTGTTGATGTGGTTTCTCGTTTTTTTTATATAGATTTGACCATTGGTTTTCCCGTTTGAACAGTTTTACACTAGTAATTTTTTAGTTTGCTGTTCGGTGTGAGCCAAGGCTACGTGCTTAAGAGCGCACTTTGCCCTATAATGGTTTACTTTTATAAATTGTGACTTGGATGAAGCTTTGTCCCATTGGCACTCATACCACATTTTCTTATATCTATACACATGTATAAAAGCATGCAAGCATACCCCCAAAAAAAAATTATTAAACTATTTAAGAGTATATCCAATTTGAAACGTAGTGTTACATTTAATTCTATACAACATGCACTTACACCTCTATTTTCTAGATCTCGTGGAAACGTGCCATCGATATTCATATTCCAGTCGCCCAACCTATAAATACACATAAATGAATCTACAACACCTAGCCATTGTCTTTGTCAACCGGATAAATTTGTGAAGGATGAAAACATATATGTTTTAACCAAACATCCTTTTCCAGTTTTCAAGAGATGTTTTCATTTGGCTTATTCGATTGTTTTTATAGTGTTTAAATTAATGTTGACTGTTGTTTCCCCATTATTTACATTTTTACCTATAATGCCTGTTTGTTCACACATCGTTGTCAATATAATGGAATGTTGTGCAACTGTTTTACAAGTGAGAGGTGTAGCTAGCTATAAAACAAGGTTTTATCCACCATTTTCTACATAAAATGTCTGTACCAAGTCAGGAATATGACAGTTGTTATCAATTCGTTTGATGTATTTGAACTGTTGCGCCCTTTTGAATTTTCAGTTCAGTATGTTTGCGATTTAGCTTTGTCTTACTCCAAACTAGAGGCATTATATTTAGAGAAAACAAATGTATGTTACAACTAAAACCAATGGAAACCTGACAATAAAAGGAAAACAACTGAACAACAAAAACATTTAAGTGCAACAAAAAAAAAAAAAAAACGCCAACATTCATAGACACAGAATATTTGATAACAAGTACCATATTCCTCTTGGTATAGGACATTTTAAGAACAAATGGTTGGAAGAGCCTGGTACATTGTCTACTCAAACCTCCCGCTGTGAAGGCAATGTTAAAAAGATATCGTTTAAAAGACAACACTCTATTTAAAATTGAAACCACAAACGATAAAACATAACACAATACTCAACAAAATTGTATACAAAAAACACATACCTTTGTCTAATCAATTGCAAAACTCCAGTTGAATGAATGTTCATAGTATTGTCTAGATATCCCCCAGGAATAAACAGGGTTTCGCGTGCCAATCTGCAAACATGATTATCGTTTAATAAAAAACACTTTGTTCTCGTCAATTGAATTTCAAAATGAGACAGATGAATGCATTTTTACACATGTTAACATTAGAAGGAGATACACCTTTGAGAACAATATCTTTGTCGTATCTAAGAATAAATGACATAATATGCAAATGTTACTTTCGAGTTAAGGGTTTACCGTTTTGCACTAAATACAAGAACGTTGAAGCACAAATCAGACAAAATTTTTTAAGATATAAAAATGCAATGACCGCCCTAAAAAAGATGTTCTGATCATCTGTAGAACTTGTTTAACAGATTTGTTGTTTTTTTCAACTTGAACTTTGCGAAAAAAATATCCTTCCTTTGTAAAATGAACTAATTTTGTAACTTACTCGTTGATAGCAAGGTTATAATAAAAATGTGGTACAAGCAATTTATAAATCGGATGTCTTGATGAGAGATTGCGGTGTACACAAATAGCAATGCCTTCCATTAATACATGAGTTAGCCCTGCAAAGAATTAACATTGTTATATGAATGGAATAAATATATATTTAAATAATATTTAGTGTAAATGTTTGGAAAACTTAAAGGCCGAACATAAAAATAATGCAGCAATAACAATTGAATGTTCTTCCAGTTATAAAAATACCATATGCTTTTGGAAAATTACATGGATAATGCAAACTGATAAATAAACTGATCAGAACAAATTGAATTAATTGTGAATGTTAAATACAGTGCTTAACTATATTTTCTCTTTTGCATTTTATTTTAGTATCCAAATCTTTACTAAAGATTTGAATATTTCATGATCTGCTCACCCATTCAGAGCACATGAGAAAATCTTCAGCTTTGTTGAAATTGATGTTGCTAAGTCTTTAGTTTTCTTTATTGTATTTTAGCAACATGTTCGTTCGTCGTCTTTCTTGTTTGAATGTCCACTTCGTATTTTACTCAAAATAATATGATTAATATTTGCAAGAACAACTAAGAAACTACAAGAAACGCACACGAAATGTTCAATTTATCAATCCAATAAAGTTATAAACTTCGCTTTGAAATCAAGTTATAATAATTCTTGACATTCTTTAAGTCCATACATCTGAACAATTGAATATTACTACATGTATGTACACCCTGATGTATTCACGACCGTTTCCCCTTTTTCCAAATGTGACCTATCTAATTATAATTATAACAGGGTTTTTACTGACATCAGCAACATGAAATCTGTATCAGGGTCTACCTATCCTTCCATACGTTCGGAAATCACCACATTTTGTTTGTGGCTTTCGTGTTTCTCTGTGTTTATTGTTTTATGTTGTGTTGTGTACTATTGTTTGTCTGTTGATCTTTTGCCCTTTCAGCTATGTGGTTATCAATTTATTTTGGACTGGTTAGTTTGACTGTCATACGTGAAAGGTTTAGCGCTATAAAACCAGGTTCAATCCACCATGTTCTACATTTGAAAATGCCTGTACCAAGTCAGGAATATGACAGTTGTTGTGTATTCGTTTGATGTGTTTTATCATTTGATTTTGCCATTTGATTAGGGACTTTCTGTTTTGAATTTTCCTCGGAGTTCAGTATTTTTGAGATTTTACTTTTTTTTTGGTATCTTTCGACCCTCATTTCACATTCGGTAAATAATAAAAAAAAATCATTGAGACATTTGCAAGAGAACGCTATATACATATTATCCTAGTTTGTCCATGCATTAACGTACACAAGATTTTTAATACCTTCATTGTATTATGATTTCTTTCTTTAAAATATATAGATAGACATCGGGTTTGTCTTCAATTTGGTATTACAAAAACAGAGAAAAGATACATTTTAACAAGTAAATCAGTCCTAAATCATACAGTCCACTTAAACATCATGGTCGAAAATTACATCGATAAAATAAAAAAATGCGAAAATCAGCATATCATACAAAACTAAAAACTGAGCAACACACATCCCACGAAAATCGAGTGACGTATTTTGTATCAGGTTATTAGTTTCTGATCCAAGAAAACATCCGTGAAAAACAAAAATTCAAGTATAACTTCGAATTCATTAATGTCACAATCGAGCAAAAGAGATAGTAGTACAAAATATGATAAAATAACATGTATAAAAACTGATAAAACCTAACGCTCAACAGTATCAACCAGCAAATAGACTAGAAAACAATTGTAATATTCCTGCCAAGATACGGTAGTTCACAGAAGCAAATGAAATCAAATATGATGACTAAACTATCCGATGGATAATTTTCGAAAAACAAAGGATTTTCTTATCCCAGGCATAGATAACCTAAGCCGTATTTGGCAAAACGTTTTGAAATTTTGGGTCATCAATGTTCTTCAACTTTGTACATAGCTATCATGAAATACCGTATCAACTGGGAGATATGCATTTCGTATATGCAGGATGATGGAATTTTATCACAAATAAAAGGGTACAGTTTTCATTGTAAAAATGAATATTCTCATTTATCAGCACTAAACTACAATGTCAACTTCTATCGGTATCTACGGCCAATATTAGTTTACATCAAATAATACATTAACTGGCAACAAATCAAAATAATCAGTACAAACTGAGGGCATTGCATAAAATCCGAAAGGTACTAAACCCGTCTACTCGATAGGTGCACAGTCAACATTGCGAATCCAGACCTACTCAATAAATTTCAATCTGGAATAGGTCACAATCAATTGGTAAGGTTTCGGTGAGGACGACTATTCTGCTAGATAAAGACCAAAGGCCGCAAAAAATAAAAAAATAAATAAATAAAAAGATAAAAAAAAAAATTGAAAAAGTTTCTGTCTAAGTTGACACATTTTCATATCTGTAAGTCGGGATATCCGACACCCTAAACCAAATCAGAGAAATAGATATACCACAGGAATAACAATCCTTCAACCCTGGTTTTAATAATGTTTTTTTTTACTTGAAACATCTCTCTGTAGACAGAAGGCAGACTACTGGAATCGAAAATTGAGACCTGGACCAATTACGGATTTACCGACACAATTAAAAAATGATTTATGGTAAAGATTAACTTATCATAGAGACAGGATTACAAGTGTGTACGCTTGGCGCGAACATCGTCTACAAAAGACTGATTAGTGACGCACAAATCAAAAAAGTTCAAAAAGATAGTATACCTAATCATTATTAAAGATCGATGAATGTTATGAATATTTCAAACTCTAAACCTCAAGAAATGTAGACGCACTCATGAACATTATACATCAACTTCTCCATAATGTCTCTATCAATGACTTACTGCCATTTATATAGAACCTGTTGCACGTAACTTAATTCAGCAGTCTCCGTTCTTACCTGGTCAACTTATGGAAGGACACCTCTAGTAAAAATCACCGTTAAACTAAGAAACAACCTATAATATCAAATATTGTCAATAGTAGACCTTTCAGTCCGATTCGAAAAGATGAAAGGATGTTAAGATCCTTTTTAAAACTCCCTTTTCAAACAAATGTATCAATGACATCACCAACGACAATAACCTTTATCATACATCAGTTTAAATTAAAGTTCCACCCTCATTTAACGACCAGTCGTACCTATAATCTGTTAAACCTATTATCTCTTACACCTTTACCAAATCAATTTAAAGGACGTTTTACGATCGCAATATTTTAAAATAAAATACTAGTACTTTAAAGGTCCTTTAAGTCTATAAATCCTAACTGCCCCTGTAGTATTTCCTGATTTATGAATAATCAGTTTGGCCTAACTTCCGCTGACCTGAAAATTAGCATAAACCATACGTTGCAAAATATTATGAGCCTGTATCAATCGATTGGAAACAAAACTTTTTAAAACTGACGGGTTCAGTTGAGGATTACCAAAACACATCGTTGAGACAAACATATAATTGTAGCTCACCAATTGTGAAACATGATTGGATTAGCGTTGCTGTTGATAAGGAAGCCATTAAAACAAAAGTTGTGAGGATTATGGAGTTGAGGTCATCCATAATAATATCTCTCGAGTTGGTTGACCATTATATAATACGAAGGATACATGACTGTTTCAATTGTCGAAACACAATATTCATTTTCCTAGAATATGACCACACAACTAAACTTATTAACGGATTTGTACATATATAAATTACACGACTGGTGAGTAAAAACTTTAGCACATGAGATCACTTCCGATTTTTGTTGGCATGATTAGTCTTAAGTTTTTATCATTTGTATATGTAGACTGTTATGTCTCAAAGTCATTTTTTTCATGAAGTTGTCAGTGTATATTCGGATCACGATTTGGAAAATCTTTTCACTATCTTCTGACTCTGTCAGAAACAACCGTTTTAATTAAAAAAAAATCTAAATTATGTATACCTAAATGGGTAACGCTTAGTTGCATCGATGCATCTGCTAAATTGGCCCACATCTTAGCTAGTCGCCACGCATTTGGTTCGTCATCTGGTTGAAACACCTTTAGTAAAAACTCATGCATTTAGAAATATCAGAAAATGAAAATGTCGCATTAGTAATCTACTTATAAATCCAGTTTCAGCTACTTTTATCGAAATATGTATCTATCAATATTGATTATACAAAATTAAACTGTCATAGTGACTTCACACTGAACAAGTGCAATACAAAATAATATATATAATAAATGTCAAGTTATACGATGCGCATATGTATATATCAAAATGTATGAATGCATGTCATACCAAATGATGATTTCAGTTTTAATTATAAAATGTCATTACTGATTTTCATGTCTTTGACAATATTCAGGCTACAGTATAACAATGTTCTTGACGACAGACACTGTGGTTTTTAAAGTTTCTAACGTAACAATAATGACGAAGGTGTAAACATCCAATGTTTTTCCAAAAAACACGGACAAAACACTACATTTTCCTCTACTGCATAGTTCAAAATGTTCACTAAAATCTTGTAATCTAACAGTCATATCCCAAATCATTTAATCATGGATACGGATCCATTCACACATATGTGTCTTAAAGGTATAGCATATTTAATGTATATACTGAAATAAGTTTGTGGTTTGCAATACATATGTGTTTTTTAAAAAGGGCTTTGCATTTAATGAATGTACTTTGAGTCCAAATTAAAGTATTGCAACGGCCACACCTTGAGTCTCTGCATTTATAATTCGAGTATGCTACTATGTCGTGGAATTTATTTTTTGTGAATATGATCGATTTCGAATCTTGATTTCGAGGTTGTCGTCTGGTAAGTAGGTAGGTTTTTGTTGGGAACAGTGTTTTTGTATTTATAAGAACTGGCTAATTTGCTTTTATGACGTTAACATCGGGAACATCTATCATGTTTATTTTACATTAACCTCCTTTATATCTAGTGTAACATTCAATGAAAGTGATAATCAAGTTAAAACTGTTTTTATGATGGTTGGAAAAATCATAATAACTGGATATTCCATAAGATCTAATATGAATGCCTTGTTGGCTTTACTAGACATAGTTTTAATTTTATTTGGTCATTTTAAAACTTCCCCTAGATTTGGTTATTTAATGTATTGAGTACTTGAGTTTTCAAAATAGTCATGTTAGATGTCTTCAGTCAGGAAATATAACTTCGGATGTTCCAATGTTCCTCTGAAATGCATCGATTCAATAAAGACATCATCGGAACATTATATCAAGCCAAACTGTGAAACCCCAATAAATCATGCTATAGGAATATATTACAAAAAATACAAATATCTTAATCTATTAATATTTTTCATTTTTTGGCTCTTCAAAGAGTGCTATACAGCATCAACCACGGCTCCGTGTTGACGGCCTTACTTTATCCTATAGCTTTGCATGTTTGATACATTGTGACCTGGAGGGAAAGTCGTCTCATTGGCATTAATATGTTATAAAAGGATTTAGGGCGCTATTAGAAATAATTAGAAATTGAAATAAAATAGATCTTAGTAAAACAAAAAGATAAGTTTCTAGTTGATTAAGACAGATAAAAGAAAAAAGAGAATATAAAAACCTAATAATTAATGATATAGGAAAATAAAATAAGGAGATGAAGATAACACATACTTGTACTGCACATGACTCAACAGAATAACAAACATTATCTTGAGTGCAATATAATCAAAAACAGTACAAAGTCAAGAACCTCATTAAACAAGTTATTTGGCACGCGTACGGAAGGTTATTAGGTTGCCGGACACATGTATGTCGAATTGATATTACATCCAAGGTTATAACAATATTCACAGAATTGAAGATGAGCTTCAGCATCGTGAATATTCAGTAAGACAATATAGCACACAGGAATGTTATTAATAACCAATCACAAATTAAGATGTGATACATGTACGATGATTGATATATACAAAATAATAATTAAAATTTAACAAATCTTAATCATCTTTTATTGAAAAGATCAGAAATTGGAATTCAAGCAAAAAATTATTCCATTTAAGTTTAGAAATATTAATCTGGATGCTTTTCAAACACAAAGAAGTGCATTTGCATATCATGAAGCAACACGTATTTTTGGCAACACATTACATTATTTGCAGAGAGGCTCAATTCGACGGGAGGAAAATGATGTCAGGTATTGAACGGACCTATAAAAGAAAAATAATTAGGTTCTTGTCAACATTATTTTCCTGCCAGCAGAACTGAGTTCTTTTATTTATTCTTTAAAAAAGTAAGCTAGTTTTATTTTTTTAAAGTTTAGATACATGCATTTAAGGTGGTACCCAACACCTTGACTAATATCAATTTGGCTCGTTTAATTTTCATAAAATTTTGACAAAATGTTTACTTTGACCCTTTGACAAAAATATAAAATTTCAAAAAATTTGAACCAACCATTTTATCAGAAAAAATTCATTGGTTATATAGCAGTTTGACAAACACTAATTTTGATCATTGATAAGCTTAATATTTCCTTAAGAATACAACGTAATTAAAACGTTTAGCTGATTTTTACAGAGTTATCTCCCTGTAGTGTTAGGTACCACCTTAAAGTTTAAATACATGCATTTAAGATTAAAATAAAGTAGGGAATAATGATCAGAAATAAAATATCTTATTATATAATTTAATTAATATAATGTATCAATTTAATTCTTAAGTTAATAGCTTAAGTTGTATTAAATTTATATGGATATAGCATCACAGTAAATGATTTCATGAGATTAATTCACTTCACGAACAATAAATAGGATGAACGTAATTAAATCAAAAGCAGATGTTTCATACGTAGTGAATTGATCCATATAAATATCATAGTTAATTGACATAGAATTCACGAGTTAAATTCAGCAATTTACGAAACAGAAATACTTGTATTTTGTCAAAAGATCATATTGTTTATATGTATAGCTAATATATTGTAAATTATTTTGATAAAAAAGAAAAGAAAAGACAGTATAATTAAAAACATCATTTTCCTGCCAGCAGAACTGAGTTATTTTTATTTATTTTTTAAAAAGGAGCAGAAGGCGCGATTCCCACTTTCGCTGCCAAGCCAGTCCATAACAACGACATGTAGTCCCCAGATGTCCAGACATCATTCTAACTGCAAAATCCTGAAGAGAACTTGGCAAACGAGTGAAGGAAAATTACCATTATGTTTATCAATATAGAAATCATAAAGCACAAACATAGACCTATCGTAACAAGTGCCCCCTGTTAAATATCCCTGAACAAAGACGATAAATATCTTCACAACACATACCACATCTACTTATTTATAATGTATATAATGTGTCATTATAAATTTTCACTTACAAATTGTCCTCCAATAGCAACATTCAGATTAATAGCAACAGGAAGAAAATTATCATCATTTGTTCTTTCGAATAGCACTACCGGACTAGGAATCTAGAAACAAACAAAAAAAGGTGAAGATTTACATAAAATTTTTTTTTTTCCAATTATATCTCAACTCAAACAAACAAATGTTTACCTGTAATGAGGTAAAATCGAATATGAAGTTAAACAGCATCTAACAAATAACAACTACTGCGCCAGTCTAGTGTACATGCATGGCGAAGAAAAAAACACCTTTTAAACGAGCTATATATTTTATGACAAGAAATTAATAGAGGCAATAGACTGGAGAATGATACCAAAGATAGTAGGCAATCAGATTTTAGAGTTATTTGACAATTACACAGACATATTTCATTTTGATAAAATTGCTGTATTAAACTTTGAATGATTCTAAGCTTTATATATTCATCGAAAAGAAGTAAAACGTGACATGTGTAAGACAACTCGTTTATGTTGAATAAACGAGAATATAATTTTGATTACATCATCATGCCACATCAAAGAAAAAAATGCAATATCGCGGCGATCCATAACCCAGCAAAATACTTTCCCAATTTCATATTTTGTCAATAATAGTATATCTGTATCTAGATTATCTAACATATTTTTTTTATTTCATGATAAAAGGAAAACACTTTCATTTTCATTCTTTTTAAAAATGTGCAAATTTTTGTATTTGTAATCCATAAATCAACAAGATAAGTAATTAAAACAAAAGCGACAACAAATTAGCAAATAAATTAACGAATCAAAAATTTGTTCCTATAATGTATTTTAAACAATAGACGATTATCTAAATAATATTCGCTCTATAATTCCCTGAAATGTAAATTTAGTCATTATGGTACTAGTAATCATCTGTTGACAAAACATGCAAATATATGTGAAAAATACAAAATCAACAACTTCAGACGCATCGATACACTTATGGTGTCATGATCACATCATAATGTGTGCTCTTATAATATGTATAAAGAAAATAATAGCTATTTGGCTTAATTTCCATACTCTTTGCCAAAACTAAGCACATGCGAGTACCACTATGAAATTTTACTAGGCTATATACATGATGTATCTGAATCATTTACATATTTGTAGAACAAGTATGTTTAGGTTGAAGGTTGAGGTCAGTCATATTAAGATGAAAATAGACATTCAAAATGCATTAAATCAGGCAATCTGACTAAAATCCTGTACGCTATCGAACCTTTGAAGATGCTAAAATATATATAACGATCAACATCACAAAAAAAGGGGTGTAAACTTTCATATAAAAATCAATATTACAGGTTTTAGTAAATTATATTGTAAAGTTTAGTTTCAGCTGTTGTCAACCTCAATTTTTTTTTATCAATACACATAAATTTAAAGTCTTTACAGTTTATTACAAATATTAGTTTTAAGACATATAGTCTAAGGCCATGTTCACATTGAAAAAAGTCAGTTTGGTTTCTTTTAAAGTAAACTTAACTCGACTACTTCCCAATTGATTAAAATCAGTCAAGTTATGCCTTTGGTGGGATATGAGTGGAAAAATGGAGAAAGAGGGGAGGGGGTAATGTATGTCTTTTTTTGTTGAACAACCTATTGTTTCTTCGTTTCTCATACAAACACAAACGTGTTCAATAACATAAAAAGAAGGAATTAACCACTTTGTTAGAAATGGAAACACATCATTCTCTCAAGATCTGTATGGAAGACATTTGGAATTAAACTTTAGGTTATATCTTCAACCACCAATCCCCCCTCCCCCACACTCAAAATAGGTGTAATTTCTTCCAAAACTTTATATATGGAGAATTCAATGTTGTTCACACTGTTGGGTATATTGTTTATTTTCTGTCTTTGATTTGGTTTTGATATAAATTGCATTGGTAAAAGTACAATGTAATTTCTATACATGATACACTTTTAAACACTCTTTGGTGACCTTATATACATAGTCTTGTACATGTTGTAGAGATAGAAGGGCAAATTTTTGTAAAAATATCAATGTTAATTAAAACTCATTAATTGGTGAATTACAAACAATGTATAAGTCAACAAAATGTATGTAAGCTTTTTAGCAGTGACAATTTTGAATTGTTAAATTATCTTTCATGAATGACATACATGTACTGCTTAACGTGCACACTAAATCCTCTCACTGATTCAGACCGGTATTTCTCGTGTCTCGCCCACTATTACAAGAAATCCCGGTTATTCCTAGTATTTCACACTAAGAAGTTTAATATTTATAAAACCTGTGTTTTGACAATCCTGGTACAAATAAACTAAAGGCTCTAATAAGCCTGTGTCGATCACCAGACATTTTTGTATACAATGGATGCATGACATAATGCAACAATTATTCTTTTGATTTAGTTTCAGAGATACATGTATTAGCCAAATACTGCTTTTTACCTCTATGTTCTATTTTTAGCCATATCGGCCACGTTAGTTAGCAGGCGGGGTCATTGGACATATCTTATAAACTAAATATCCTAATGATGATTGTGGACAAGTTTAGTTTAATTTGTTTCAGAAGTTTCAAAGGAGAAGATTTTTGTAAAAGATTACAAAAATTTAGGAAAAAATGTTAAAAATTGACTTTAAAGGGCAATAACTCATTAAGGGGTCACTTGACGATTCTGGTCATGTTGACTCATTTGTAGATCTTACTTTATTGAACATTATTGCTGTTTACTGTTTATCTCTCTCTATAATAATATTCAAGATATTAACAAACAACTGCAAAATTTCCTTAGAATTAATAATTAAAGGACAGCAATCCAACAACAGGTTATCTGATTCGTTTCAAATATTTAGAGCAGATAGATCTGAACCTGTTGAACATTTATACTCAAGTCAGATATACACTAAATGCTTTAGTTTCATAGATATAAGCCAAAAACTGCATTTAATGTTCTATTTTAACCATGTCGGCAATGTTGTATGGCAGGTGGGGTCGTCGGACACAATTTTTTTTAACAAGATACCCCTATAATAATGTTAATTTTTGCCCATTATTTTCAAGGGAGAAGAATTTTGTTAAAGTTAACGACGACGGACTACTGCGACGGACGACGGACGCCAAGTGATGAGAAAAGCTTATTTTGGCCTTTTAGGCAAGGTGAGCCGAAAATGGTGAAGATATGTGTGTGTGTGTGTGTGTGAATTGTTAGTTTACAAATTACATTACCGCTAAACCTTCTGGTACGTTGATGTTGGTGAAGTATAATTGATGTCCTTCTATCGCTGCATTGACGTCAACAATAGCATTGAGGACACCATTTGGCAGACTTAGAATATGAAACATAAGCATGTACATACACGAAAGAAAGAAAAACAAAACATATATAGTATCTTATGATTTTACATATTTCAAATATTCTAATAGCTTTGAAAGTTATATTTTGTTTTGTTTTAATGAAGGAGTTGTTGTTTGGTTGCCACTGATTATGAGACAAATATCCCACAAAGTTCGAATAACGTTGAAAAAGGTAATTAGAGGTCACCATACGGCTTTCCACCGTTAGTCAAACACATACCTCACAATAACGTTTTAAAGCTATAAAATGTCTCAGTCAATCCGTTTTTAATTATCTCACTACATCGAGCATAAGCAGGATATGTCAAACTAAAATAGCATTGAACAATATATCGGATATTTCTTTGATTACTACTCTCTGAAGACGCTGGTATATTGACAGACCTAGAGAGGGTCTTCTACTCCATGGTGATTGCCGTTGTGAAACGATGGGTAAGTGATACATACTAATTTAACATGTTCAGCTTATATTATGAACGTACACTAAAACCTATAATTCAACTCCTTTTGATCAATCAAATTCGGAATGTTGTCCCCTTGACACATTCCTTTTTATCATTCTCAATTTTATTAAACATCTATCTAGTCCGGTTGTGTCGTTTTTACCCACATTTCTCTTGTTTTTATATTTTAACTTCTGAAACTACTATATCTAGTGTTTATGATAAATCTTCGTGCAGACAAATGTGTCTAGTGCACTGTGATCTGTATCATTTCATAGTATTCAAAACATGGTTTGTTCAGTCAATTGCGGTGCAAAAAAATAAAGAATAAACGTAAGGTGGAAAAAAACGTATCTCTTTAAATATTATTGTTTTGAAAAAAGTAAGATTCACAAGTTATAAATGGGATCTGTCTTACTTGTTCATGATGTCTGCAATCTGATCTATGTTATTTACCCGCCTTATTAACGACGAGTTGCACTGATTAAGTCGTTGCAACGCAAAATGCTGATCGTCTTCCCAATTGATGTTACCCTGAAAATTTAAATCGACATTTATATCGTGTATCAATGAGTACATAATATTTTTTCTATCATAAATCCCTTAATTCACTAAAGGTACTGCAATGACCAAAACATAATTTTGGTTGGAATTTAAAATCGACTCCCAAGTAAAAGTGTATTTATAATTTATAATTTCCACCTCTTTATCATAATTACATAAAATGACATACATGAACAACATCAATTTTGATAGCTTTCACAGGATAACAAAACTCCGAAACTGTCATACTCCATGACCTGCGTTACTCCAACTTCCAAATTAAGACATCGTTTGAAAATAGTTTTAAATCTAAATGACAATAATCAAAAGTAAAAACTGAAGAAATTGTCATCAAAACGGACATTATAATATGTGTAATAATAAGTATGTGTAATGATATATTATTTTTTACTTACTCTTGGTGCTTTAAAATATATTTGGTAAGCTGTGTTGATTTCTTCCAACAATCTCCACCTTCCAGGAAGATGTGGAAACCGATTCAATAACATCTTGAACATTATGTATCCTTCAGATAGAAGCATTCCAGCGGTTGGAATTATACTATTTGTCTGTAAAATTGTATGGAGTCAAGTTGATTTTTTATATCTATATTGTTTTTTATACTTTAAGTGAAAATACCTGCTTTTGATTGTATAATACGATAGGAATAAGTTAGTCTATACCATGGCTCAGCGGAAACAATTTTTCGAATGTCACCCTCTCATGTAGACCAAACACAACTTGATAACTAAATTTTTAAGACAATGAATTGAATTTGCACAAAATAAATAGAAGACAATGAGCAATGTCTACGTTTTGGCCCCAGAAGAACATTTTCATAGACTGTCAAATTAAAAAAAAAAATGTCTTCACTTCTGTTGTTTTCTAATAACAGTTACGTTGCTGTGTACGTGTCGTCATAGTTAAGTATGTATAGTTTAGAATTTAACAGTAAAAGAAAACAATGAATAAATATTTACTATCATAAATAAAATATCACTAATGTAAGAGGTTGATAGAGCAGATTGTTAACTCTCGAAAAAGCATTACCAATCTCGGCTTCGCCTCAGTTGACATTGTTTTCTCGGGGAAATAATTGTCTATATCATCTCAGTGGTGATTTATTGGGAATATACAATATGTTCCTTCACTTGATTACAGTTATAAACTAGAAAAGAGTCATTCTTTTAAAAATCAAGAATACCTTTTTTTCTTTTTCAAATTTAATAACAAAACTGGACCATTTGTTTAAAAGTTCAAACGGTTTTACTGTTACTCTAAAAAAAAAAAGGCCAATATCAAACACTAAATATTTTGATAAAAAACAAGGAAATTGTGCTTCTTTGTTGCTCAAAACATATATAGTATTTAAAACAAGATGGGTAGTCATGTAAAAAATTATATTAATGACTAAATAGCACTTAATTGACCTGATCGCATGTTTTATCACTCGAAAACACCCGATCTTCACCCGAAAAAGAATTGGACCGATTCATTCTAAAAACTGTTGTTGTTATTTCAATCGTTATTTGGTCTCTGGTAAATCATACAGCATCTTCTTATTTTAAATTTCGGAGTAACGGTATTCAGTTTGACGTTTTTATTATACATAATATATTTATTTTCTTAAAACTTGGAATGTTACTGTTGGTATAACGATTTTTAGATTATATCTTTTCCTATCAAATGTACAACAGTATTATCTAACACAATATTTGAAAATCATTATGAGAAGTAGTAATTTAGCAAAAGTTTATCTTTTCCATACTTACCAAAACGTAGCAGAATGAAAAGTTCTCTTCCATTGGCAAATTTGCAATCTGTAAATATATTGAAGGATAATTTGTAAAACATTCTTGAATTAAGTAGATACTATAATAGTAGATCTTCATTTAATCAATACATTGTTAAGTGAACTCAATTTTTATTGACGATAATTTAAGTTTACATTGCTATGATAAATGAAATGGAATTTTATTATATTAAAATGACATAAGCTACCAAATAGTTAAATAATAAAATACAGAGCACCGAGGAAAATTCAAAAACGGAAAGTACTTTATCAAATGACAAAATAAAAAGCTCAAAAACATCAATCGAGTAGAAAACAACTGCCATATTCCTTATTTTGTTCTTATGTAGACGATACTAGATTAAATCTGGTTTTATAGCTAGCTAAACCTTTCATGTAGGTCAGTCGCATGAAATTCCATTATATTGAAAACGATGTGTGTCAGACATAATTGGTAAAAATGTCAAAAATTTGTTTGCTGTAGTCAACAATGGGTTTTAATCTTAATCATCAATAACATAAACTATGTCAAGAAAGAAAAAACAAAATGGTATTTAGAAACTCTGTAGAAAAAGTTCATAAGCAAAACAAGAGAGACAAGAAGAAAAAAAATAGCACAATACTGGATGTAAATTTAATTTAGTTTTCATCAAAAAGATTATAGTCCACCTGACATGTACATGTCAAAGAAGACACTCAAATATAGTACAAAATTGATACGATGTGCTATCGGCAGTGAGGAAAATCCTTGACATATATTCAGCCAAAAAAGACAGGGAAATAACAAAATGTGAATCAATTACCACAAAAAACCAATGGCAAGATTAATGACAACAAAAAAAACCAGAAAAAAAAACAAATATTACAGACAGCAAAACCTTGTTACTGTTTGATATTTCAAATTCCAATACAAAAAAAAAATCAATTATTTTCTCCTAGAGGTAAGTTTCAATAACTTTGTGTTGCTTAGTCTTTAGTTTTCTATGTTGTGTCTTGTGTTTTATTATTTGTCTGTTTGTCTTTATCTTTTTATTATTTTATTGCCACATTTTACACGCTATCAAAACAACACTTTCCAGCATACAGTACGTGCGTAATCTGCATACTGAGCTACAAAGGACTTTCTGCAGCAAAAAAACATTACAAGTATGCCAAAGCCCCCTTTAAGTCCGGAATTAAACCCCATTTAACATCTATGGGGCGAAATTCAGAGAAAACTGAAAGACGGCCATTCAAGACCGACAACTGCTGTGGAACTTCAGGCATCTTTTCTGCAGGTGTGGGCTATAATTCCTTTGCACTTAATCAACCGTCTGATTCATTCCATTTACAGGAGATGTCGGGCCGTTATCAACTCTTATTAAGGACACACACACACAACTGACTGGTGATCTGTATTAATTAATCCTGTGATAAGGTGGGAAAAATTGTATCAATGAACATTGAATGAACTGAAATGATGTAAATTGTCAAATAACTAGGACCATTCAATTAAAAAAACTATAACATTTATTCTCGCATCATGATTGACTCCAACTACTGACACGATTCGTTTGCGGTTAAGTATATATATTATCTTCAAAACTATAATAGATTGATTGAGTGTTGGTGTTTTAACGCCAATTTTTAAGCACCGCTTTGGGGCTTTTTTGTGGTGGCCAGTTTTTATTGGTGGAGGAAGCCGGAATGCCCAGAGAAAACCACCGACCTATGATAGGAAAATCGATAATAGATAAAAGGGAACTTAAGACAGCAAATCTACAAATCTCCTTGGTGTTATTGTCGTTGATTTTCTTTTATTATTATTTTGATTGTTAACCTATTACTTATATATTAAGGCATAGTAAAACCGAGATCACAACTCAAAATAATTGAAATTGCCGAAATTGTAAGTTGGCTCAATATGATATACATTGAAGGGGGATTTAATCACTATTTTGCGTTAATGATTATTATTGCGATGGTAGATTATAGCAGATGGAGAGAAAATGTGAGAAGCAAAAATGCTCAGCATGCATACTAACGTATATGTATTTCCATTCTTGCCGATTATGGCTGCTATTTAAATTTATATATATCTAAAGTATAAAAGATTTAAAAAATAAAAAGAAACTATTGATAAAACTTGTTTTAGAGGGCAATATCGCCATGTAAAATGGAAATGTCAAAATCTTTAAAAATATACATATAAAGGTAATTTTTTAATGTTATAAGGAGGAAATGATTTCAGAGCAATTTGGAATGACTTTTGTGTCATTTTTATGGAGCATTTTCACATCATATACGGGAAGGAATATTTGAACAAGCTCCAACTGCCCCTTTGTTTTTTTTTAATAAAGAATGTCATAACATTCAATAATCGCAAAATCAGTTTAATGGCAAGTCTTTATAAAAGTGACATAATATATATTTAGGAATGGATAAACATTCATTTACCTTGACCGGTAATTCTGTATCATGGCAATTATACAATCCATATCCATATTTAAGTCTTTGCTCAGCAAGATCAAAGGTTCGTAGATCTCTATGATACCGACTGCCTTCATCTTGAGGTAAAAGCGTATCTTTTCTACTGGAAAAACCTTCTTGCGTTATTATCTTATGAAATGAAAATCTATTTCCTCCATCTATTTCTATCCAACGAAAGAACCATTCAGAGTCTCCGTCATTACCATTTCTATTTACAATCATTGTTGAAATATCTAATGGAAGTACACCATTAGCCTCGGTTTGAACAATTTGTATACCATTGCCAATTTCTTGATTTATTTCGATTTGATTAAATTGAACCGCTATTCCATTTCCTTGTACAGTAATATTGTAGACTGCATCTTCCGGATTGGCATTGACCGGTTGCAGGGATATTCGTATTGCATGCAGTCCGTCATTGAAATTCAATAGATATTTGGTATACCATACCATCCATTTACCAATATATGCAATATTTTGAAACAAGGTCTGCACTCTGTCTCCAAAATTCAATAGGTATTTCATATAAAATACCAATTCTTTAAACCATACCTTACCAATGTATAACATTGTGTATAATATATACTTAATCATTGCTTTTTACTTCAAGTTCTCCCTGAAATGACACAGTTCTTACAGTTGAATTATAATTTCATTATACTTTATGGCTCGGTCCTTATCGGTTAATGACAAAAAAAATAAGAAGGCATTATAAAATCATTTTAAGAAATTTAAAGGGACTACATGTATATTACTTAATATTTGCTTTTAATGACTTGATTTTTAAATGTGTCATTGACTTTCAAATGAACATGATTCCCATATAGTATTCTGTATATTGCTGTCGTATTAAGTAAAACTGAATTATGAGACTTGTAATTAGGATAGGACAACGACTCATCTCCAAATACAGATAGTCATGAGACAGGTCAAACTACATGAACAAATAACATAGTTGATGTATAAGAAATTAAAGCCTATTTCCAAATTACAAAAGGTTTTTTTTAAAAAAAGGCAACTAAACATGCATGACCTCGATAATATGTATCAGCATGTAGAGTGTATTCTAGTCTAGACGTCATCTAATTAATTATGAATATGACCTCCGAAAACTGCCTAGAGTAAATTTGAACCGATAAAAATATATAGATATCGAGTACGTGCAATTGGATTTTCTAGGTCTGTTTGATTTAATCTTAAATGTTTTTCCTCTCTTTGAATGAGAGAGCCTTCGGATACGTTTTTGGATTGTCAAAATATTACTCAAAATCCGATAACTCCTATCTGTGAACATGATAATTTGTTGCCGTTCTGACATCGAATAAAATTTTCACAATGAAAAAGTCCGCGGAGGGTCTTTAATACAGCATATAAGAGTTTTCGCTATATTAAAGACCCATTGGTGGCCTTCGTTTGGTTTCTGCTCTTGGACGGATTGCTCTCTCTTTGACACATTCCCCATCTACATTCTCAATTTCATTGACGACAATTGTGCATTAACATTTTCAATATTATAGATTTTCATGTACTATTTTTTTTTAACTAAAACAGATTAATGGTAATAAAGCATTTGCATGTGTTATTTTAAGTAGAATATATTTTTTAAACTTCATTACTACAAAATGGACTGATTCTTTGTTACTATTTTTTCTTAAAAAAACCTTAATCGACGTTTCAATACGGTTGAAATATAATCTAATAAAACGACACCATTCAAACATTTGATGACACAAATTAAAAACAGTCGTATTAATACTTGTCGTATTATTCACTGTATGTTTATAATTTTAAAGGAAATCATTTTAAAATTAAATGCCTAATTGTAATGAACAATTGAAAAAAGGTACGTACCCTATGAAGTAATAAATGTGATTCTGAGATGAATTATGTCAGTGCACAGTTTTATACCGTTGCCTTAGTTTAACTTACGCAATAACACGGTTCACTTGCTGGTTCATCTTTACAAACAACAATTCTAAGAAATATTAAAGAAAGTATAAACTTACATTCAAATACTGAGTAAAGAGGAGTATTTTCTAATAAAATAAAAATAAATGTTTGGTAATATATAATATACAAATAAGAAGAATAAGTCTTTTCTGTCTGTTAATGACGGACAATAGAAATGTATCGATGTTCAATGCCCGAGCATACATTAGGAAGATCACTAAAACTGAAAAATGAACTAAAAAAAAAGAGCAAGACTTGATGCTTCGGCACGGTAAGGATCTATAATAAATTACGATTCTATCAATATTTAAATAAACAAAATCATATTTGATTAATTGTCTCAATCGTAGCTTTAACTCTTGATGTTTATTAGTCATCGTGTTATCATTTTTTAATGTTATCTCTCTAGACTAACCATATGTGTTAAATGTCCGTAAGAGACATACAAGACCATACAAGTATAAACTTTCTCTAAACCTGTCTTGGTATTCTAGGAATTGATATTTTGTCTACTACTAGTCAAAACATATGAAACGATTTCTTGTGAATTTAATTTCAAGGAAATTATTAAAAAAATGCATGCAAACATGTAAGTATGTACTAAACTAATTGAATTGTTTTACATTGTCATTTCGGGGCCTTTTATAGCTTACTATGCGGTATGTGCTTTGCTCATTGTTGAAGGCCGTACGGTGACCTATAGTTGTTAATTTCTGTATCGTTTTGGTATCTTGTGGAGAGTTGTCTCATTGGCAATCATACCACATCTTCTTTTTTATAAGTTCCCGATGCATGATATCTTTTTCATATATTACGTATCCATAACGCTCAATTAACCAAAATATTTTCTTCAGTGAACACTTTCACAGCAACTCAACTTTAAATTCCGGGTTTTGTTGCCGGAGTAAATAGAAATTGACATTGTTTAGTAATCAAGAATCAAGTAGCACGTGAAAATTAAGTTATACGAATGTTCCCTTGCATTTGCAACCTTGGTTTATGTGTTTTACCATAGGGTTGACACCTGTATCTTTGATATACAATTGAATCTCCCAGTTATCATGTTTTTTTAAATTGATGGAATCATAGAGTTTCATTATTTTTATATGAAACTATATATGTAAGTATTAATACCATGCATTTCCGATCCATGTGCAACATATTTATCTGTAATATACATTCTTTTATTAAAATGTCTACATGAATGGTGCGTCTGTAGATCCCCGACACGAATCATAGGGATGGTACGTCTTATGAGTTAAATTTTAAGGCTGTAGTTACCATACAAACATCACAGCATCAGACCTTAAACTGTTCGAATAAGGAACACAAAACAAATTAAAAACCAATTGTTCAGAGAACAATTGAAGGTCTTTCCACAAAAACACATGTATTTTAATATGAAAATAGTAAAATTCGTTTAAAAATGTCATTTCCAGCTTCAAATGATAGCTTATTGTACGCTGATTACAAAAATATATGGTTTCTATACAACATTTTTTAAATAAGGGAGATAATTTGTTACTTCCGGTTTGAAAAATGTTACTTCCAGTATTATTCAAACGTTTAATTGACACTGATACCAAAAATATCTGGTTCTTTAAACGTTTACATTAATTAAGTACAAAAAAAGCTACTTCCGGTTTACACAATGTCACTTCCGGTTGGCTTTTTTAAGGTTAAATGACTTGAAACCTAATGCAAAAAGTCCCATGGATTTATCATATATACATATGAGGTAAAAGCAAAGGTCAAAATCTAGAACGTCAATTTAACCTATGACCTTGAGCTCAATTTCAAGGTCATCAATTAAGGACCTAAAATCAAAAGACCCTAGGATTTAATTATATTTGGTTCATGAGTTATATCACCATATGCATATTTTCAAATAAAAGAGGGGAGAAAACTCTAATTTGATGTAAGCGTAGCCTTTAAACCGATATGTATGTGTTACGACATGTCGCAACTAACAATTAAGTCAAAATATGTTGTCGATATCTTTAATCGTGTTTGAAAAGAAGTTAAAATAAGCTAAAATCCAAATTTAAAAATGACCTTGACCTTTGACCTTGACTCTATTTTCTTTTTTTTGGACCAAGGACCTCAAATCAAAAGACCCTAGGTCCCTATCACTTATGGTTTACCAATTACAATTACATTTTACTTATTTTAAATACAGAAGGGGAAATAACTTTCATATGGAGTTTCTGGACCGCTTCGGTCAAAATTATTCTTAAGATCCTGAGGATATAACGAACAAATTGGAAACATAAATTTGTCATAATCTTTTACGGTTGCGAAGGAGATGCGTACACAAGAAAAACAGTGTTTGTGGAGATAACTCTTACAATAAAAAGTATTCGGCTAAACAGGGTCAGTTTTCAAATCGCAATAACTGTTCGATATCATACACAAAAAATCTAAGCGACATCTTGCGAAACAAAAAAGCACCGTCAGAAAAAAGTGGCGGAAGAAGAAAAAAATATTAATAATAATTAAAAAACAATTGTTCAGAGAACAATTGAAGGTCTTTCCACATCAATTTTCTAAATAATTGATAGGAAGCTACTTCTGGTTTACTCAAAGTTATTAATAGCGTCAAAGTATGAATTTCTTCATACTGATTCAATAAATAAATGGTTTCTATATACTTTTGCCTGAAATAAGGGAGATAATTGCCAACTTCCGGTTTAGAAAATGTCACTTCCGGTCTCATATGATAGCTTTATTCACACTGATACAAAAATATATAGTTTGTATATACTTATGCCTGTAATAAGGAAGATAATATGCTACTTCCGGTGTATATAATGTCACTTCCGGTCTCAAATGATAAGTTAACCTATGATCATTCAAAAAATATATGGTTTCTAGGTACTTTTCCATGAAATAAGTGCAAAAAATACTACTTCCGGTTCACTCAAGGTCACTTCCGGTTTACTTTTTTCAAGGTCATATGTCAACCAACAGTTTGCAAAAGATGGCTTTATCATGTACCAAGTTGGAGTAATAATCAATTAACCTTAAATTGAATCATTTCAGGGACAATAACTCTTAAAAGATATCATTGGATTGTTTCAGACCAAATGTATCATATCTTAATCACAATTAAGCAAACATTTTGCACTAGTTCTTTAATTTGTAATTTTAAAAGTGACAGAGGAGATCAAATAACAAAAAAAAGTCAAAATTTAGAATATGACCATGACCTTTGACCTTTGCCTCAATTTCATTTAAATGAACCAAGGAACTCAAATCAATATACCTTAGGTCTCTATCACTTACCATTCAATTTATGCTATACATTTATATATCCCTTATGTCAAATACAGAAGGGGAAATAACTCTCATATGGAGTTTACGTATCGCTTCGGTCAAAATTGGACAAAACATCCTTATGATATAACGAGCAATTTGGTAAAATAAATTTGTCGCTTTCTTTTATGGTTACGGAGGAGATGCACGCACAAGGAAAACAGTGTTCGGGGAGATAACTCCTACAAAGAAAAGTATTCGGTTAATCAGGGTACGAAACATCTAAGCGATATCTTGCGAAACAAAAATTTATCGCAAGAACAAAATTAGGCGGAAGAAAAAAAAAGAAAAAATTAAAAACCAATTGTTCATAGATATCATACACAAAAAATCTAAGCGACATC